GCACAATAATCCTTAGCATCCAGTGCTTCAACAACGTCATTAAGAACCTTCAGTGAAGCAGTGGTTGTCCTGTGTTGTTTCCTGAAACCAGATTGATGTGGAGGTAAGATGTTAAATGAGTCCAGGTAATTTTTGATTTGAGATTTTATCAGTTTTTCTAGAACCTTGGCTAAAATACAGAGTTTAGAGATTGGTCCATAGTTGTTCAGTGCGGTGGGGTCACCTCCCTTCAGCAAAGGAAGAACAAAGGCTGTTTTCTAAGTGTCTGGGATGGAGTTTTGTCTTATGGAGAGATTGAAGATGTGGGTCACAGGGACTGTGATGATATGAGCAGCCAGCCTTAAGAAATAAGGTGGAAGTTCATCTGGACCTGCAGATTTTTTAGGGTCAAGATCTTTTAACAGTTTATTGACCTCACTGACTGAGAATGGAGAAAAAGAGAAGGTGTGATTAACTGAGGATTGACTTGTAGGAGGGATTTGATTTGTAGAAGTTTGGTTATTAGGGGAAGTAGCTGATTTTCCATTAGTAACTGTGTCAAATAAAGAACTAGAAGCAACAAAATGTTTGTTGAAACAGTTCAGGATCTTGTGCTTATTTGACACAATAAATAATAATAAAAGGTTAATAAAAGGTTCTAATTAAAAAAAAAAACAGGAAGCATCAGACCGGCTCACTGGGAAATGTCCCAGTCCTCCTGATTAGCCACTCCAGGCCTGGTTGATGCTTTACTGAATAAAACAGAAGGACTATTATAACATCTTGATTTTCTTTACCTCCCCAGATGATCCAGAGAAAGGACTGTTTGATGAGATGACCGACGACGAGGTCCTCGTACTGCAGCAGATGTTCTTTGGGGTTGTGATCTGCGCCCTCGCTACGCTCGCTGCCAAAGGTGACATGGTCTTCACAGCCATTTTTATTGGTGGAGTAGCTGCCATGGCTGGATACTGGCTGACAGAGAAGGGAGACTACATGCTGGACGGATTTCTAAAGGGGCGTTAAGACTGTCTGCGACTACGATCTGAGAAAAGGAACTTGGACTAACAGCCAGTTAAGGTGAAAAAGACGACTGAGGGCAGGACATGGCCTTTTCTGTGCTAGCCTTTCAGGGATTTCCTTGTGATAGAATTGTTTTGAAAGAACAGGGTTTGTTTACATTTGTGAAGAGAATTATGCAAGAAAAAAGTGAGAACTTGAAGATCATGAAGATCCTTTAAGAAGAATAACAAAGCAGCGCTGCACTGATATAAAAGAGCTGAACTTTGTTGGGAACCAGGGTGGCATAAAGACCCCAACCTGCATTTAAAATAATCTAATATGCATCTGGATGTCAAGAAAATCTGGTTCCTTCCACACAGGGAGAACCTTCAGTCATCTGTTTCTACCACGTCAGTGACCTAAAAGTCAAGTTTCCCCCTCATTTCAAACAGGATGTGTTTTTTCACCATGTCAGGTGACACTTCAGATTCTAGCTGTTGGCATGTGATTAGAGGAAATAATCCCAAATCATCCCTGCAACAATCCCAGACACAGCTCTGGGACAATTATTTATTTTCAAACGATGACTTTTTACCTCATCCTTGCTGAATGTTTTTTTAGTAATAATGCATGTTGAAAATATTTAAAATGAAAGACAATGCTCCGTTTTAATTTATTGTTGACATTTAGCATGGTTTTACTGTTTCAGCTGTCAGATCACAGTTTTAATGCTTAACCAGGGAGAGAGGGAATGCGCTGCAATCTGGATGATGCCTTTTATTTAAAGCAATATTTATGTTTATGAATGTTTATCGTGTTTTGTTGAATATCATTGTGTCTGTGCATAGCTGGTGCAGTTTCACTTGACAGACGGAGTCATCACATCTTATCCATCCGGCCTTTTTTTATATTTCATCCTCTGTAAAATCATCCTCGTACGTTGGCTTTGCAATAAACATTTACCACACTTTGAAAGATTTTTGTTGTTTTTTGTTAACTTTTCTATGTATGCCACAGAAACAGACTCCAAAACATTCTGATAAGACAACTAAAAAGGACAATTATCCATTTTTTTTAACTATAAGTGCACAGAAATATGCTTACGGTTTTATTGTCTTTTGCTACTTTAACATCCATGTTCAATTCTTTTCAAGCTTCATTAACACAAAAGCAAAATGAATGTGTCCCCTGTGGTTTTAACCCATCATCAACTGGTCTACTAGACTTGAGGTAGAAGCCCTCACATATACTGATCTTGTTTTATAATCTCTTAAACTGTACAGTGGACCCAGCTGCATGTTGTGGAGAGGCCTGACTTCTGTAAGAGGTCCGCTCTGTTGCAGCGTTCCACTCCAGTTAATGGGGTTGAGGCGCAGCAGCTCTGCTTCAGGGCCTCCTGGGAATGGGTTAGCGCTCTGTGCCTCCATCTCAGCTCCATTAGCTATGCACATACAAAAAAAAAACAAAAAAAAAACCACTCAAACAATTGAGACGAGGAAATAAACCACGGACACTCTTTGTTGCAGCCAGAGAGCATGGTTCAGGAAGCATTTTCAGGACACTTGTGCACAGAAAGCATTAAAACTGAATGTGTGACGTGTGTGAAGGGTTGTGCCCGCTTGTTCTCATCTCTAGGCCGTCATCACTTTGCTGTGCTGAATCTTCTCCTCCCTGTCACTGAACAGGGTGAGGTGGATGACCTCTCTGAGATACTTGGATTCCTTGGTTTTACTGAACCGCTGCAGCTTCAGTTCTGCACTCTTCTCCTCCAGCTGCTCTCAGATCTTCCTGCAGACACATGAATGTGTTTTCTTTGTCACTAAAGTGATGTGGAAAGCTTCAAGAGATCTGGATATGAAGTATCAGTTTTACCTGTACTCTTCTCTCTCACTGGAGGCTCCATAAAAAGTTTTTTTCCACACTTGATGACACGATCAATCATCACAGTGGCTTTCATCTGAACTCTTTCAAGCAAAGGCAGAACTTCCTGATGCATGCTCAGTAATTCATTTAGATAAACAAGCTTTAGTTGGGTCCTCTGGACAGATTCTTCTTGTTGAAATGTTTCATCTTTTATCCAAAAGACTTTTTCAGTCAGGAGAGCTGCAACAAAGTTTTACAAATAGCAACTTCTCAGAGTGGATCAACCAGTGTGTTGTTGAAAGACACAACTGCAGTAGCTGTTCACATGATCAAGAAGGACCATCAGCCTAACAATGGATCATTAGCACACTGATGTATGTTTACTGTTCACAGGGGGCTGAGTGATACTAGCAATCACAGCATTGTAAGAGGGGGACAGTTGAACCCGGAGGCCTCCACCCCTGTTTAATGATGGACGGTTTCTTTTCACAAAGATGGCCTCCTTTACTCCTCTCTCAAACCATCGTTCCTCTCTGTCCAGCATGTGAACATCTTCATCCCTGAAAGAGTGACCGCTGGCCTGGAGATGAGTGTAGACCGCAGAGTCCTGGCCTGATGATGTTGATCTTCTGTGCTGGGTCATCCTTTTGGCCAGTGGCTGTTTAGTTTCCCCGATGTAAGACTGATCACAGCCCTCCTGACACTGAACAACATACACAACATTACTCTGTTTGTGCCGGGGGGCTGGATCTTTGGGATGAACCAGTCTTTGCCGTAATGTATTTTGGGTTTAAAAGCCACTGGGACGTTACGTTTATAAAATAAATGTCTCAGTTTCTCTGATACTCCCTCAACATATGGAATGACCACTGGTCTGGGTTCCTCCTTTTCACCTGTTGGCTGACTGGAGTCCTGTTTGGGTTTCTTCTCTGCTTTCAGAAAGGCCCAGTTAGGATATCCACATTGCTCTAGAGCCTGTTTTGTGTGGGATTTCTCCTTCTGCTTGGCTCCCGAGTTAGTGGGGACGCTGTCTGCTCTGTGATACAGAGTCCTGATGACTCCTAACTTGTGCTCCAAAGGGTGATGGGAGTCAACCCTCAAGTACTGGTCTGTGTGGGTGGGTTTGCAAAGGTAAAGCTATCATTTCATGACAGTTTTAATAATCACCTTATGCTGATAAATAATGGTGTTGTAGCCATTTTAGTCAAACAATGAAAATAATGTTATGCACAATATCATGCTGAGTGTCTGACTGTCAGCTATTGGCACATCATATTTTAGCTGAATAGCTACAAAATCGACTGTTACAGCCTTTTTCTTTTAAAGTCAGCAGGTTGTGGCAGCCATCTTGAATGAGGTTGACTCTCAAAGTGAATCAGTTGTAATGTTCTGCCAACTTTTTGGTAGAGCTGTCTCAACCTGATGCTCTCCTTTGTATAATCAGCGCCCTCTGGTGGTTGTGATGGTGAACAGCAGGCGTCTCCAGGATGACGGTGTGCTTAGGAACCAAAAGTGACCAAAGGGTTCAGTCTGGGAAAGTTTTAAACAGTGCATTAATAGATTCCAGTTTCAAGTTTTACTTTTGGTGTGAGGCAAAGAAAACATCACCTTCAAGAAAGGAAATCCCCACTTACCTGACTGGTCCCCCACAGATGGAAAGAATCAGAGATGATGGGAAACATAATGGGATGGACCACCACGCTCTGCTCTGCAGGGGGGTGTTATGAGGAACAGGAGGTGTGGAAGCTAGTGAAATGGGTGCTGCAGTTTTTAAACAGACATACATCACATATTAATAAAATAAAAATAACTTTAAATACACAAAAAAATCATTAAACTGTTTTTCCTTACCTGGTCTCATCTTGCTGATGTTTTCTTCCAGCTCAAAATTACAAGTTTGAGCTTCCAAAAGCACGAAATATAGAAAAATAGCATCTTAAATCTACAGTCCTTAAAAATAAAACTAATTTACATTAAAAAATCTCTTAGATTAAGAAAGACACAAGTTATAAATTAAACTCAGACAAGGCAGTGCTTTCACTCCGTTAAGTGGGGGCGACAGTTGCTCTGGGAATCAGCCTCATTCCAGTAAAAGAACGAGGACGCCATCATGCTACAATACGACAGAAGTACAGAATGATGCACTCGCACATTAGTCCAACTTTTAAAACATTTATTTGAAAAAGAAGTAAAACATCCTCGCTAAAGAGCAACCCTTTAAAATGTCACAGCACAATCCCAAAGAGACTCAGGTTTAAAACTACAATCATGATCCATCACAGCTGGATGCTCTCAGAGATTGTGACAGCTGATTTCTCCTCCTTGATAATCAGGGATCAAATCCTCCTGGGACTGGTCAGATTCCCAGTGTTTTCTGGTTCTCCCACAGCCAGGCGTGATACTTGTTCAACATGTGATCTTCAGGTTTCACCTTTGACGTGAAAATATAAAGAAAATAACAGATTCAGTTGGGATTTAAAAAGGAAACCGATTCAGTCCCTGTCAAATCGTCGACCGTCACCTGTCTCCACTCGTCAACACAGAAGATCCTGTAGGAGTCGTTGCCATATTTGCCAATCCCGTGCAGCTCGATGGGGTAACGCCACGGTTTGTTCAGATACTCATCTAAACAGAAGAAAAGAGCGATAACGTTTCTTTGGCCGTGGATGAAAGTTCATTAATTCTGATTAAAACATTCCAACATTCCTTAAAGGAACTCATATCAAAGCACGGTTCCATTCATACCAGAGGTTTCATCTTATGGTGAGAAGGGATGCAGCTGGAGTCGTTTTGGTCACACCTTGGGATCTCACAAGATGGATTAGTGCTCGAATTATGTGTTGAAGGTGATACTCAGCTACTAGCACATTAAATTTTAGATCAGCATCTGTAAATCCGTGTTATAGTCAATTATGTGTTGGCGTATGTGAATAAATTGTAGCAATGATGCTGAACTGGGTTTTTTCACGAGACGTTCACCCAGGGATTACTTTCTGAGAGTGTCAATAAACTCTGTTCAGTGGTTCATGAGATATTTTGCTAACAGACAGACAGTTGATTTCAATGATTAATGACAAAGTTTTAAAAGCAGTTCTTTAACGATCCTTTAGCACTTGGAGTATGTTTTGGGGATGAGTATCAGCGACTACCACGCCAAATCTGAGCTGAACATCTGAAACGCTGACGAAGTTATATCCATATACGTGTTTGCTAAGGTCGCTTAGCTGTGGCGGCCATCTTGAATTGGACTAGTCACCTGAGAAGCGGATGATAGTTTTGGCTCGCAGCTCATACAGTCCGAGTGGCTTCATGAGTTCAGACATGGGCTTCCAGTCGACCCCCCTGGTCACCTCTGCAGACGGGTACAGCTCAAAGAACCTCCACAGCACTGGAATGGCCACCCGACCTGTGAGAAGGTTTGCAGATGATTGATGTGCAACACCCAGAGGACTGAATGTGTTTCCGTTGGATCCTACCACTTGTCTTATTCAGAAAAATGGTGGCCACCAGGAGCTTCCAGGGGTCATGGAAAAGGGTTTCCTGTACCAGGTTGAAGGGAGACCGTGGGGGTGTCCACTTCCTCAAGGCTTTTCTTCTGGGTGGGCTAAGACCTGAGGGTGCACACACATTTGTCCAAAACCACAAACATATTCTCAAAGATTATGATGGGTAGAATTATAGAAGAACGCACATTTCTGGTAAAAAAAAGAAAAAGAAAAAAGGACTTCACCATCTTTGAGGGGTTTTCTGCTGAAGTAAGGACTTTTTCTTCGTTTGTTTTCCACACTCTTGGACTCTATGAACAAACATATACGCACAAAATAAACCCCAGACACAAACATGTTCAAAAGTTTTCTAATATGCAACATAAAATTAAACCTGCGACTCGTTACATAGTTGGAAACTCAACACAACAAATAATTGTGTTTTTGCTTTCACAACAACACAGTTTTTAGGTCTCTTCATTAACCAGACTGAACCCTCAGTAATCATCTGTCTGATCTTGGTTTAAAACCCTGGTACACAAGCGGTGGGTGATATGCATTCCTTCAAATAATACAAGACTTTAATACGGCTTTTGCCTGGCATCCTATAATACAGTTCCTACATTTAATATCAGGATCTTAGAGTTGCATTTGGGCCTAAAAAATCCGACCCGACCCTAGCCCATATTCAATTCAATTCAATTCAATTCAATTCAAAAATACTTTATTAATCCCAAAGGGAAATTATTTGTTGCTGTAACTTGTTATCCTCATTTCATTAAGAGATGTTGTAGATGCTGATGGATGTAGACAGGAAGGATCTCTTGTAAAGGTCCATCCCACAGTGGATCCTAAGAAACTGGCTGCAGATGCCGTCTGATCCGTCCACCCAGACTCTGCTGGCCTCTCGGTTCCTCCGGGCTGTAGGACCATATCTATGTGTAGGACCGCCCGAAAGACAGGCAGAACTCCTCCCAGAGTGATGGTCACTCCTCCCAGCAGTCTGCCGAACTCCTCAGGCTGAACCCGAAAAAAACTCTAAAATTATTTTAAATTAAGCTTTTATTGCTTAATGCAACTTTTTTTTTTTACCTCTTTCAAGCAGCCGATCAGTGGATGCACGCGGCCGATGATCCAGTTGACCATCTGAAGCTTAACGGGACTTTTTACCTCTTTCAACCGGCCGGTCGGACCTGAGCGTGCACCTGACCTGACACACAGCAGCAGGTTTCACTGTGCTGGCTTTGTAGAGTGAGTTCTCCTGTTTTTAGCGTTTGTTTAACACTTTCCAGCTCTATAATGTCACTTGTTGTGGGTTAATTACAAATCCTCAGATGTGTGATAAGAGCAAAGGGCGGGCGGGGCCACATGCACAATTGTTGCATTGTGCATTCTTATTTAGTTTTCTTTGTGCTGTGCGATTCGTAAAACCGCATCAAAAGCCCGAGCCCGACCGAGCAGCAAGTACAGCGCTCTCATCGCACCATAACTCAGGGAAGTATCCAGTTCTCTGCAATTCAGAAGGAGACGAAAACCTGGACAAGTTATGCAAAATAAGTTGTGGCAGTGTCCTGTTAAAACAGCCACAGACATTCTCAGAAAAAGACGCTGACTCAACGGTGGTGTATACATTTCCAAAAGTCCAGGATACAATTATATATCACGAATAGCTTCAGAAATAAACCAGTCATTCATGACATGAGCACCAGTGCACCTGCGTACTGTTAAAAATGCAGGCTGTTACACTTCTCACCAATTACATCCCGAGTCGTCAACTTTTAGAATCTCACTTCTGTTTTTTCGTCTCTAAAGGAAGTCTAAACAGGAGCTCACGGTGTCCACATGTCCTCCTGCCTGATGTCCCATCAGAGATGAGTGTGTGCCCATAAGACGCAGCCATGTTTCTGCACAGAGTTGATTTGTGGCTAACTTCCTGTGTGATGAACGGTGTAGTACGTCTAACCTTGCTCGGGCTCTACAAAGTGCTTTACAGATTTACTGATTGGAGCGCAACCAATTTACTACAGAGCTACCACTGCACCACGGTGTTTTAAATGACATTTCTGGATGCAGCGGCAGCCTGTGTGGACTGACATGGGTGCTCCAGATGATTTCTGAGCCCTGTGTGGCTTTTATTTATTACACACGTCTGTCCATTTTTTACAGTGCTGCTTAAGACCTTAAAGGTCAAACATATAAAATCAATTACAGCTCTGACCTTCACAAGTTGCTCGGTTTTCCCAACCTCCATGTACAGTATATTTGCTGCAATAAGTGCTACAGATGGAATAAAATAGTTTATTTCACTGACTGCACAAAGAAGTGAGTCATTATTTAATTTTGCTCGGAAAGAGTAACGCCTAATATTGCTTCGAAAACATTAATCTAGATTATAAAGAAGTGGAGATTCTGTTAAGACCTCCTTATTGGAGTAATGTTTTGCCAAATCAAAGCTTTGTCAACTGTAGCAGTAATTAACTATAACTGTAATCGCAAGATTTCTCCCCCTGAGTATGTGTTGGGAATGACTCTCAGCTACTACCACCTCATAATTTAGCTCAATATCTTTAAAATTCAGAGTTACAGCCATTTGTGTGTGGGCTAATGTGGATTAGCTGTGGCAGCCATCTTTAATGTTCATCAGCTGTAGATGCACATCCAGTGCTTACTTTCTGTAAAGTTCCAATCAAATCTGTTCAGTGGTTCAACAGATATTTTGCTAACAGACAAATAGGTTTGATACAAACAGTTAAAGATAATTTTTAAAGCAAAAGGTTTGTGCAATGTGTAGCACTCGGAGTGCATGTTGTGAATAACTCTCAGCGACTACCGCACAAAACGTTTGCACAAAATCTGTAAAACTGACTAAATTTTAGACATTTTTGTTTTTTTAAGGTTGGTTAGCCGTGGCAGCCATCTTTAATTGGGCTGTCTCCATAAAGATTAATCAGGTGTGACGTTTTAGATCTACATCCAATATTTATTGCCTGAAAGTTTCATTACCAATTGTCCAGTGGTTCACGAGATATTTTGGTAACACACACACACACGGGTGATAATGTACTTGTAGCTGGAAAATTGGACGGCTATTTAAAAACAAAGGGACTTCATGTGAAACTGTGCTGCGTTTAGGTGCAACAGGAAAACTCTAAACCAGGGCTGTTCATCTAAATTGCTCAGGGGGCCACAGTTACTTAAAGCCTCGAGCTCTGGGGCCGGACATCCAGCAGTTATTGTCATTAAGTTTGTTTTATTGTTTCAAATCTGATTTTATTTAAAAATGAAACCATTGGTGGGCCGAACTGAGCTCACCTGTGGGCCGGATTTGGCCCCCGGGCCACCAGTTGAATAAACCTGCTCTAAACTAAATGAAACTAAAATGATGCATTCAAAATAACTTTTTAATCTGTCAGGCAGTGTGGATAATACTTACTATTCTGGGATTTTCTTAGTAGTTTGCAGCTCCCAGCATTGCTGTCAGGTACCAACACCTCCTCCTCCTCCTCCTCCCTGTGACTGTCAGCATCCTCCGTCATTTCAGATTTAGACTTCTTGTCACCTTGGCTGTGAATCTGTGTAACATCTGTGTCTGGCGCGTTCCCACCTTCGTTCTCGCTCTCAGTGGCAGCTTCGGCACCCAGAGGTGGGGCTGAAGGCTTGTTTTGTTGCCGACTGGAAGGAGCCAGCCGGAGCAGCTTCTCCCTCAGCAGCCCCACCTTCTGATGGCAGCTCCTCTGCACATCATCCACTGAGCCAGATGCTGCAGCTCGAGAACAACTTTTGTCCTTGCAAACTTCTAGCACACGCTTTGTCACATCTGGCACGTTTGTTTTGGTGTGAACAGCCTCGTCTGTAGCCGTACCTTTTTTACATTCACTTGAGGCTGATTCCAGCTTATTGTCTGTCTTCTCCTGCAGGCCAGCTGCTTGTGCTTTCCTCTGTCTCCTCTGCTTTTCCTGCGATTCAAGTGTTTGCGAGCTACTGGTGAACTCATCTTTGGGTATGGTAAAGTCAAAAAGGTTTATGTCCAAGTTCTCTTCTCCGCTTTTTAATAGAAAGGCATGCAGGGATGATCTTGACCGAAACCTCTGTCCTGTGGGACTTAAACAACAGCTCAGTCAGACACTGATGTTCTATTTTTATTGCCAGTTTGTCAGTATAATATCTCACAAACGACAGGATGGAGTTTAATGAAACTTTCAGAAATTCATCGGTGAACGTGCATCTACAGTTGATGAACTTCTACAGTCAACCTCCTTCAAGATGGCAGCCACAGCTAATCAACCTTGGCTAACACAAGAATAGCTATAACTCAGCCAATTTGACAGATGTTGTGCTCAGTGTTTGTGAGGTAGTAGCTGTGCATCATACCCAACACATACTCAGAGCACTACACATTGCAAACTGGGTTTGCTCAGAAATCAGGCACTAGTTATTGGTGTCAACTCTGTCTGTCTGTTAGCAAAATATCTTATAAACTATTTGGACAAATTTTAGCACAACTCTCAAGAAGGACTCAGTGGATGACCTTTTAAAACTGATTAACCTTTGGAGTCACCCAATAAAAGATGGCTGCCACAGCTAAGTGAAACTTGCCAACACAAAAATTATTCTAACTCCATCACTTTGACAGAAAATGAGCTCAAACTTGGTGTGGTAGTAGCTGAACAAAACCTCTGTCATTTCTCATTATAAGATGTCAATTTAAAACTCTGGCACGAAAGGCTGCGGGCGATATGCATCACTTCAAGGAATGCTTTTTAAAATACATTTTTATATAAACCCAACTTACCTTGTTATATACACATCCAGTCTTCCTGCTGTCTTGCCTGTTTTTCTCTGCCTAACTTCCCTGATCCACCCATGGGGCACTGAGGTGTCGCACATTTCCGTGGGACTTTGGGTGCTCATGTCTTCACAGGTCTCCAGCTCATCTTCTCAACGAAGATGCATTTTGATTTTCAGATGTTGAGTTCAGTGGTGGAGGAAGTTATGTTTTTTGCAACCTAAAGGAACAACAAATGCAGGTAACATAGGGCAGCAGACGTAATTATTAACAAAACAAAACAATACTGACCAGAACCTCGTACTGGTGAGTCTTGACCCCATTCTGATGTCAACACATGAACGGAACCGTGCTTGCTTTTTCCACAGGAAGTGGGTTCGCTCCCTTTTGTTAACACGTGTTAAAGGGCGAACGGGGAGGGAGGGGAATTCCTCTCTTAAATGTTAAGAACATGTACTTTTTGTTGGGTAACATAGAAACGACAAAATTCAGCTAAATCATCGCCTTTATAACTACATTTAAAACCTCAGCTTGATCTAACGACTGAAATAAACTTTGCATATTAAGCACATGATCGGCTAGATGCACTTTAAAGAGAGACAGCAAGATCCGCACACTCCCACCGTACGGCACACAGTTGCATGTGCTGGCGTTTAAATGGTGCGGACCCCCAAATAAAGCAGCACTGAGTCTGCGCAGTGCTAACAAACGCTAACAACCAGAGAACGAGTTGCGACAACTTGTCCATTTAAACAAACACGCATTTATAAATTTGATCCTTATGCCATTACAAAGGGAAAATGAGGGCGGTTACGAGTTGGAAAGAATCAGTTCATGAACGGTAAGAGGCAGAAATATAATGTTTAAGATGAGCTAACGCTAACTCTTAGCTAACGCTCGGTGGATAGCAACGGTGGTTGCTATGTAAACTGGAGGAAGTCTGCTATGCTAACGCTTTAGCTTTTCTCAGTCGTTCAACGTTAGTGAATATTTATTTTGTATCACTAATGATGTGCATTTTATATCGGTATGATTTTTTTATTGCAAACTCTCCTGTGTTAAAAAAAACAAAAACGATAATTAAGCTAGCTCATACATAGACGTTAGGCTTGAACTTTCAGGTTTTAAATAAATCATATATATATATATATATATATATATATATATATATATATATATATATATATATATATATATATATATATAAAACAATGTCAAGCTCATGTTGTCCGGAAAATAGCTGACCATAAATATTCACCTAACGTTAATAACAACGTATTTAACGGTCAGTATTTTTATTGTTTTAACTGGAAACATCTGCTTTACAAACTACGGTCCTTATTTTATTTATTTATTTTCCCCCCTTTTTCAGCCTTAAATTCAACATCCAAGCTATCTCTAATTTTAAAGGGTAAATGGTTTAAAGTATACAAATGTTAAATTCCAGATATAAAAATGAAGATGCTACAACTTGTTGGTCCCACTGATAAACTGTGTCTTTGCGTAAATCAGAAAGTTGAAATGTTTTTTAATTTCTCATAAATACCATTTTTTAAAAATCTTTTATTTATTTTCTAACTTTACAGTTTACAATTGAATTGGTTTTTGTTTGACTGTTTTTATTTTCTTGTTACTTTTCTGACGTACTGTTGTTGTTGTTGTTGTTGTTGTTGTTGTTGTTGTTGTTGTTGTTGTTGTTGTTGTTGTTGTTGTTGTTGTTGTTGTTGTTGTTGTTGTTGTTACAAACTCTTCTTATAAAGCAACTCAGGACTGTGTCAAGTTATTTGGAAACAGTTTTAAATTTTTTAACAAGGTTGAGTCAAGTCTTCTGGATGGATTATTTTTTGGTGAAACGTTTTGTCTTTTATCCAAAAGTCTTGTTCGTTCTGAGGAGCTGCAGCAAACTCAGTCTTATAAGCAGCACTTTCTCACAGTGGATCACCCAGTTTGCTGGTTACAGACAAAACTATTTGTTCACTTACAAAAGAAGGACCATCAGCCTAACGACCAATCGTTAGAGCCCTGATGGCTGCTTGCTATTCACAGTGGGCTGAGTGATACTTGCAATAATAAGAGGGGGACAGTTGAACACAGAAGCCTCTGTCCCTGTTTAACTCTGGACAAGTTCTCTTCACAAAGATGGCCTCCTTTACTCCTCTCTCAAACCATCGTTCCGCTCTGTCCAGCATGTGCACATCTTCATCCCTGAAAGAGTGACCTCTGGCCTGGAGATGAGTGTAGACCGCAGAGTCCTGGCCTGATGATGTTGATCTTCTGTGCTGGTCCATCCTT